TATAGTAATTAAAGCAGCCTATTTCATTCTAAAACATAAAGACAGTTTGGAAAATAGTCTGTTTAAAAATGATTGGTGAATAAACCCACATGAACATTATTTTGGAGAAAAAATAAAAATGTGGATATGGTCCCTTTACAGTATAAGACGTATGTGTGGTCAATATAGAGTGGGAACTGGCGATACTACTAATTTTGTTTTCAATCCGATATTAAGTATTGCCAAAGCTAATACCAAGATGATGAGACTGACTCCAATACTTTTTAAGACCTGTACCTTGTTTTGCTTTTTTGACTATGGATGTGTCTTGTGTGTACCTGCCTGCTTGTTTGTTTTGACCCCTGCCTGTGATTCGTATGACTGTTCTTAGTAAAACTACTATGCAGATATATCCTGCCTACAGCCCTAGAAGACTTAGCTGACAAAGTCTGCAGTAAGTAGCATGCCCAACATGGCTGCCGTCAAGCCCTGCTCCTCACCACCTTCCTGAGAAGCTTGACAGCTCATGGGAGAGGTGCAGGGAGTGGACAACTTACAGGTGGGGTTTTTCAGGATAAGGCTACTCACTGGCCAATTGCAGGGGCCTCTCCTGGTTCACCAATTGATCCTTTGCTTATAGAGGAGGAGGTGAAAAATCCTCAGGGGGTTTGGCGGGGAGAGAGTTGCTATACCACTGTGGCTCTGGCCCCTGTGTTGCTGAGCAGGTTGCTGGCAGTGCAGTAGATATGGAATCCACTACAGTGGGGGATAGCTCAAGTGAGCCAGCCCTGGGTCCCACAGTGCTGTCCAGTGCTCTGGGCAGCACCAGCGCTCCAGTGCTAGCTAAGTGATGGTCCTTGATGCTGCTCCAGTTCTGGTTCTCCAAAGAGCTCCAGTGCCAGCCCTTTGTGCAGCTCCTGTGCCTGTTGTGGTGCTGTCCGGCCTATTCTGATGTTGGCTTCCCGAGCTGCTCCTCTGATGCTGGTTTGCTATGCAGCTTCTGTGCTGTCTCCCCATGCTTTCCCAGGGTCTGCTTCCAGAGCTGTTGCTCCTTTCTCTGTGGTTGTGTTGTGGGCCTGTTTCGTGACCCTTGCTTGTAATGACTGAGATTTGGATTGCCCTTTATAAAGCTACTCTGCAGTCTGCCTACAAACCCCCTTCGTTACTTTTTACTTATTTGATTACAGTTCTATTGAAGTTGTACTTCTATACTTTCAGAGACTTATACATAAGTACATTTGTGAAAAGAATCGACATTGTAATCATTTCACTTTGTACTAAATCTTTTTTTTTAATGTTTAATTTAATTCTGTTATGTTGGTTCAGCATCTGGGCTGCTTTGCTGTTGCTCGCACCCCTTGCTTTTGAGCTTTAGTATATATATATATATATATATATATATATATATATATATATATATATATATACATATATATATATACATATATATATATATACACTTTAGACCAAAGTGAGGAATAGCATGTAATGAACTCCAGTTCCCATGCCAAAATATTAATTCTATATTTAATAAATGAAGTGTCTAAAATGCTGTCTATGTAACTTTGGATATGAGTTTTTGAAAAGATAACAAATGACATGTAATGAAAAACACATTTTTATTTCTGTAATAAAGATGATATTAATCATAATGTAGCATTGATATTTCTTGTATGGGCTTCTTGTACTGGAGGACATCAAGTTTCTATGGTCATCCACAGGAACTAATCAACCAAAAACACCTTTTTCCTCTGCTTTTTTGACCCAAATTCCTGAGCGCTGTTTTTCAATGAAATATCAATATTTTGTCATTACTGATGCCTAAAATACTCATAGAAATGCCTTTATGCATTGTGTTGTGACCAACCATTCAGAAAATGAAGAAAAAAAAGTTATCCTGGCTAATCTATCTAGATACACAGCAGCACTGTTAACAGGACCACATGCCCTCTCAGTGCTCATATGCCCCTGGCTGTGTCATTTGCCAGTATGTGTAATGAATGTTTCCACTGACCTGACCTTTATAACGGGGTAGTCATTCCAGGAAAGATACACTTATCAAAATACTCACAGTTCAGCAGCCCAATTCTGTAAAATATTATGACTGTGAATAATAACCTGTAGTCTGAGTACTGTCTGTACAGTCTTCCATATATCAGGCCAAGAAGTTTGCCTAGAAACAAATGGTAGGTGGGGAAGCTGGAGGCAACCTATCAAGTTTCTTACTGTAGAATGGATCTACACAAGTAAGAGTGGCTTTACAGAACAAGTTCAGCTTGTTCTTGCTTAACTGACGGAAGCTGGTAAATACCAAGTTATTGTCTTTAATCAAAAGTCATTCAGTCTAGATGACAGAAGTTACAATGGACTTAAAATATGGCAAAACATCAAACAATTTATTGATAAAATTATTTTTATCTTGTAGATACAACAACATAGTTGTTGTTTACATGAAAGTTTCATCCTGTCAAAGGTCTTCTGGAAACATTTAGAAGAGGGGTGTACACCATCAGTAATCTTCATATAAGACACAGCTCAGCATACAAAACCATGTACAAACAGCTGGATAAATATCATGCTTACAAAAATAGACAAATGTTTCACTGGTTAACTGTTTTACTTGAGCATTATTGCCAGCCTTGTGTATTTAACATTGTACCATGGGATGTTTCCAGGGCTCAGGGTTAAAGGCCATACTGGAGACAGCCAGATGGAAGCAAGGACAAGGGCGACACAATAGATCTACACTAGCGTTCAAAAGTTTGGAGTCACTCTCAAAGGTTTGGGATCACTGTTTTGAATACTGTAAAACCAACTGTGTTGCAGGTAAATGTATAAAATGATTGTAATATGATGCTAATGTTCTATAGGTTGCAAACAACTTGTTGGACGGTGAAAAAATTACAAATGTTTTGAGGTTGAAAGGAATCGTAGATAGAGCCAACTGCTATAAAATGGTGTGTTATGGGAATTCTGGGATGAAAAGGTTCAGCTTCTTGTCAAAGAAGTTAAAATGTTGGAGTTTACAGTAATTTGCTGTTATTTGCAAAGCATATTTGGATCTTTGTAGTCTTAAGATAAATGTATGTAACCACTGTAATGTGATGTTCAGTTCACGGTGCGATTGATAAAATAGTATATTACTGTTTATCGTGATAATTCTCTTAATTATGCATGAATGTTCAAGCATCAAAAGTTAGATAGAATTGCCCTGTTTGCATATATTTTTACGTTATACTACATAGTATGGTAAAATTAAGAGTTCGCAGACTGTTGTGGGTTCACACTACAGCACATTTGAGCTGTACATTAGACACTGGGGTGCAGGAAAAATAGCACCAATACAGTAATCAACTGTGTTTAGAAATACGATAAAGTACTGTCGTTGTCTAATACATTATAAGTACTTTTCTTCAGATAAGAATGGCTTTACAGAGCAAGTTCAGCTTGTTCTTGCTTAACTGATGGAAGCTTGTGTTGTGGGCTGGACCTTTTAGTCAATCATCAGGCATCTTGCAACAACTCCTAACCAGCCTTGTCTAGTTTGTAAGACATATTTCATGGTGAGATTTCTAAAGGCTCATGTAAGTGTGCCTTCATTCCGTCAGTGAAGTACTTTTAACAAACTTGCTTAGTTTTAAAAAACTACAAGAACTATAAACATATTTCAGATCATATTGGCAAATTGGTAATACCAAGTTATTGTCTTTAATCAAAAATCGTTCAGTCTAGATGACAGAAGTTACAATGGACTTAAAATATGGCAAAACATCAAACAGTTTATTGATAAAAATTATTTTTATCTTGTAGATACAACAACATAGTTGCTTTCACATGAAAGTTTCATCCTGTCAAAGGTCTTCTGGAAACATTTAGAAGAGGGGTGTACACCATCAGTAATCTTCATATAAGACACAGCTCAGCATACAAAACCATGTACAAACAGCTGGATAAATATCATGCTTACAAAAATAGACAAATGTTTCACTGGTTAACTGTTTTACTTGAGCATTATTGCCAGCCTTGTGTATTTAACATTGTACCATGGGATGTTTCCAGGGCTCAGGGTTAAAGGCCATACTGGAGACAGCCAGATGGAAGCAAGGACAAGGGCGACACAATAGATCTACACTAGCGTTCAAAAGTTTGGAGTCACTCTCAAAGGTTTGGGATCACTGTTTTGAATACTGTAAAACCAACTGTGTTGCAGGTAAATGTATAAAATGATTGTAATATGATGCTAATGTTCTATAGGTTGCAAACAACTTGTTGGACGGTGAAAAAATTACAAATGTTTTGAGGTTGAAAGGAATCGTAGATAGAGCCAACTGCTATAAAATGGTGTGTTATGGGAATTCTGGGATGAAAAGGTTCAGCTTCTTGTCAAAGAAGTTAAAATGTTGGAGTTTACAGTAATTTGCTGTTATTTGCAAAGCATATTTGGATCTTTGTAGTCTTAAGATAAATGTATGTAACTGCTGTAATGTGATGTTCGGTTCACGGTGCGATTGATAAAATAGTATATTACTGTTTATCGTGATAATTCTCTTAATTATGCATGAATGTTCAAGCATCAAAAGTTAGATAGAATTGCCCTGTTTGCATATATTTTTACGTTATACTACATAGTATGGTAAAATTAAGAGTTCGCAGACTGTTGTGGGTTCACACTACAGCACATTTGAGCTGTACATTAGACACTGGGGTGCAGGAAAAATAGCACCAATACAGTAATCAACTGTGTTTAGAAATATGATAAAGTACTGCCATTGTGTAATACAGTATAAGTACTATTCTTTAATTGAGTACATTTTTGCCAGTATATTACTGTAGTTTAGAACTGACAGTTTGTATAGAGCGATTACATAATTATGAAAGCTGTATAGCATCAAGAATGAATTTCTCCGTAAGTTTTCCAGAATTCCTCATATTTGAAAAGCGGTAACCAAATCTTGCTGATCAAATAGCTGCTCATAGTAATTTTGTGACAAGAAATTGCACAAAGAGATTTTTTACAGAAATATAGCATATTTTTGGTTGTTGAGTTGTTCCCCAAATACTTTAAAAAAAATGTGAATAATGCATAAATGTACATGTTGGTATCTATTTCATAACATGTCAACCTAAACTGTATAAGTTGTTATAACATTAATAATATGACAAGTGATTCCAAACTTATGAACAGTAGTATACACTAATATCTCTCTCTCTCACTCTCTCTCTCTCTCTCTCCACACACACTGTCAGTTTCACAAGCTCATTTCACATCTTACACTCATCCAGTCCATTCTCATTAGAAAAGTTAGTTAAATTCAAACTAGAATTTACACATACAGTTAAGAACCTTTAAATAAACACCACATACAAAACTCATACCTTTTGACTGTGGCCATGCAAATGAAAATAATAACAATAGAATCAGTAGCTCAATAACAACAATACCAGCAGTTCTGTTCATTCAGTCCCTTCAGAGGTGCTTCTTCAGTCACGACTGAGGAGCAGAGCTCAAAGGAAGTGCAGCAGTCATTTGGCTTCTCATAAAGGCCAGTACTTATTAAGTCAATACAAGTCATACAATACACAGAATTCAGTTTCAGCAGACCATGACTTTATATTAATGTACAAATAATGCCTTCATATCCACATATTAACACTAGTGCATTTGATGGAAACGAACTGAGAAAAGGAGGAAGACAGTATAGAGTTATGGCAGGAATTTTCAGCATGGGGGCAGAGATGAAGAGGAAGAACACTGGGCAGAGGGAAGTATGGATGTATAGTCCAATGCTATTTAGGCTACTCTCCTGCTATACTTGTGGTGATTGGCGTTGGCTTTCCTTACACATCTCGATGAATGATCTTAGTCTCTGCTTCTTGAAGTGGGACATCCTATGAAAAAATGATATATGATAGGCTTCAAAATCATGCAAAAAAGTGTCACACTTCATTATGATAGTCCCCTATATATTATATAGATGCTTTAACCGTTAACAAACTGCTGAAACTCAGTGGCTTATCAAAGGTTTTAGGTTTAGATTTTGGGTTAAAGGTTGGAGTTACACAAACAGCCTTCTTTAAATTCATTGTTTCTGTGATGTCAGCTGAACCATCTCAATTACATATATCTAATTATTCAGCCTACAGCAGTTCTAAGCAGTGTTTCACCTGAGTGCTTTTTGAATGAGGCACAACACAGGGTGGCCAATCAGAACAGAGCAAATTTACATATATCAGTCTTACAGTCACAGTAACAAAAACAGCCTACAGTTCAGTTCTAAGGGATACAGAGAGGCTGGACAATGTCCATTTTTGGTACATAAAACCAGATGAATATTCTAAGTGGACCACAAGGTAAAATATTAAAATACAAGAAAAATGTTGTATGTGGGCCCTTAAAATAGATGTTTCTTGTAATGTTTCTTAAACACAAAGTGAGTATCTGCAGTGAATTCTCACAAAATACATCTGCTGAAAAAAAAATAGATGACACAATATTACTATAAATTAAAGCTGCACAATATGGCCAAAATATTATAGTATATAATATTATGAAGTACTATATTTCTACACAAATCAATGGTGATATGCTGGAAAATATATTAAAAACAGACTACCCTGCATTTTTTTTTTGACCATTATTATTTATCGTTATTAGATCATGTGAATTCCTTGATTAACCCACAAAACACCCACAGAAACGTAGCTCACAGCACACTATGAAATATTTTGTCATTTCTTAAAGGGCTTATGTGCAGATAGAGTGTATAGCTATATCAGTATGGCCAAAGCCAATATTGCTATAGTGATTAATAATATATCTTGCAGCCCTGCTACAAATGGAATAAATCTCACCACCAAGAACAAACAGAAACAGCAGTCAGAGGATCTGTTACCTTGAATGTGTTCTGAAGAATACGCAGACGATGCAGTTTCTCATTAAGTAAGGGGTCGTTACAGCGACGGACAAACGAGCGTTTGTACTCTAGACGGGTAGAGGGCCTGTGTTCGTTCACAGGGGACAGATTGGCCCTCTCAAGAGCACGATACAGATCACCCAGAGAATCAGCCTGCTGCCTGCGCTCCCGCTCCACACCTGCAGAGGGCATCACAGAGTTACAGTAAGGAGCCCATCATTACTGAGCATTACTTGAGGGAAAGATAAAAAGTATGGCTATTTAAAGAGAGGAGTGTAGTTCTCTCATCAGCCTTTAGTTAAAAGGCAAACTGAAAACAGGTCACCCAGCAGTCAAGCTGTTAAACCTGAGTTATTAAAAGTAGAATTCAAAACTCAATTCAGAAGCTCAACTGTTGAGATACAAAAAAAGTCATTCCAAGTGGTTTGACGTAAAATGGTGCAGGGGCTCATGATGTCCTTCACATGTCTTCTAAATCATATATGCTGATAAAACTAATATAGTGGCAAATCTGAATAAATAAGCTTTGTTCTGGGATTAATTTGCCTTAGAATGCTCTGCAAGTATAATTTCACAGTGAAAAATATGTTTTAGGCTAAAAATATATCCTAGAACTAAAAACCAAAGGCTCATTCACCAGTATTGTATGGGTGGATTCTGGGCCTTATTCACCAACCTGTCCTAAGAAGAAATTTCTTCTTAAAACCTACTTACACAGTTTTCACAAAGATTCCGACATTCATAAATGTTTTCTAATTTAGGATTTGTTCTTAGGTAAGAATAGAATCTAAACGCACTCAAGAGAACAAAGATGTGAACAGCCCTGCAGTTTAAGAACACGTCATGAATCTGACATAGACTTTTTCTTAGAAACTTTTTTAAGAACAAATGAAAGAAAAAAAAAAATATTGATGAATGAGGCCTATTGTTCTCACCTAAGAACAAATCCCCCAAAAAAGAAAACATTGGTGAATGTCAGAATCCTTGTGAAAACTGCATAAGTGGGTTGGTGAATGAGGCAAAATAGCTTCAGGCAATGTATCTGTAACCATTTCAGATAATAACTTTCTGTGAAGGAGCCTTTAGAGGCATTAAACTCTTCAGAGGCCTAGTTCCTTTCACCACCACTATGAACAGTTCAGACTTGGTAAGTTTTTCTAGAATTAGAGAATTTCACATCAAATCTTTGTTTACATTTTAATGATTTAAACACAGAGAAATTTTGAATAATTTGTGGAATTCACCCCTACAATCATTTATGAAAGCCTCCACTACTACAGGCTACCACAAGGGGGCAGTGTGACAGCTCTCAGAAGTTATTTCTATATCATGCACAATACATACAGTGTCCCTACAAAGATAACAGTGTTCCATTCATTTAATGAAATATGGTCCATATTGGCAAGCTTATTAGAGATTCTGTGCTCATGAACAAAGCTATTATTCCATATGTCAGAAGGATTTGCTGCCTTTGTCTTTTAGAGGCTTAAGAAAGGCGAGGAGATAGAGGAGAGAGAGGGAAGAAAGACCCTGGAGGCGTGTTCCTTTGCCCTATGCATCAGGCGACATTAACACAGGCTGAAAGGACTCGTCCTGATGTGCTGTGGGGCACAATGAAGTCTCTGACAAATTGTGTGCTTGTATGTGCAGTGTGAGTATGAGCATGCATGTGAGTGTGAGTGTGTGGGGTAATATGGGGATGTAGGAATGACAAGTGTGAGCGATGAGAACTGTCAGAATAAATTATGGTCAATTATGATGCGTCTTGTAAGACTCTATCTAATGTTAGGGCAGGCGAAGGGTTTAGAGAAGGGCATTCAGCCAAGACATACTACTTCATCTGATTCACAGTGTAGATACCTGTTTTCACAGTTTCAGGTTCTGTACCTGCTAAAATACTGAAATATGGTTACAGAAAATGAAAAACAGCCATTTGTACTCTCCTACACAGTGGCCCATTTTTATCAGCCTTATCGTCTGATTCTCTGGATGTTCAATAATTCATAAGCTTAAGTGTGATTTTTAACAGCATGTAGTTGTGAAAGCATGATACAATTCTATATCCAGCTTTAAGTGTGGCTCACATCTTATAACTGTGATATCTGTGGGTGGCAGGTAGTCTAGTGGTTTAAAATAACAAACCAGCAACCTTTTGTAATATCAGTACTGCAAAAGCCAACTAACAAACATTATATTCTGCAAAGGAATAATATTCACAACAAAAGAAGTTATACTTTTTGGTGGGATTTTAATTGGCTTGCCCAGACAATGCCCAGACTGCAAGGAGCACAGCATCACCAAGCAAAGCAGCCCTGACTGGGGCAGTAGTGCGTAAGGGCCTTGCCCAACTAGTTAGTCAATGGAGGGCTGCACCCTTGGGTAACCATGAGAGTACCATGGTTACCAAGGCTAGATATGACCAGGCTCCTGATGTGCCCTTGGGCAAGGCTCTACCCCAACTGCCCCATTCAGTGCTGCTTTGCTTGGCATGCTGGCATGGTGCCTTTCTGGACCAATAAAGGAAAGGTGCGAAATACAGGGGGTCCTCGGGTCTCAGTTAATGTGTGGAAGAGTGCACTACCAAACTAGAAAAGAGCATTTCCAAAAGAAGAACTGTTAAACCAAACATTTTGCTGCCATTGAAGCTAGCGCTGTTATGGCGAGTGAGTTAGCACCCAGCCAACACAGGACTTCCCGAATAACAGGGGGTATTTCGCACACTGAATAAAGGTCATATAATCTCCATATGCTCCATGGAGAGGAGTGGGGTGGGAGTAGGGGTGGCACTGGGTTATTGGCTCCCACAAAACAAAAGTGCTTCTGCTATCTTATCACAAAGAAACGTTACAATAGTGAAACTACATACAACAGTCTGAAACTACATTATTTACTTTATTGCTTTATTTACTATATCAATATTTCTAGTATGTTAACTGTTTATAAAACTAATCGAAGTGGACTAAAATATACTTCAAATCACTCCATTCCTGCTCATATGTCCACTTTTCTCTTCCGAAGTGAAACGTCTTTGATTGAATAACAGCAAAACTCTTTTTTTTGCCCAACAAATGTTTAAACCAAATTGTCGATAGTCAAATTTTGTTGTGGACATTCTATGTTCTTTGCACACACTGTTACCTGAATCTCTGGTGAATGGTTGGCCTAGCTGGTAGTGCTGGGCTTCTCTGTGTTCAGGTGCCCCTGCAGTGGCTGCAAGGATGGCATGGAGGCCGCTGTCCCGGGGCAATGTGAAGCTGCGGTGTTTGCCCACTCCTCCTCCACGGGAAGTGGTGGTTGGCTGTCTGAGTGGACTTGGCTCTCTGGGCGATGGGGGCCCATAGCGCTCAGGCAGCGGACCGCGCTGGGCAGGCAGAGTGGCCTGCCGTCGTAACTCCACGGGTACAGCTCCGCTGGGGTCCAGGAAGACCGCATCCTCGAGGGGAAGAGTCTGAAGATAGTGCAGGCCAGAGCTGGTGAGTGGCGTTTCAATCAGGTCCTGCCACGAACGCCGTTGGTTGGCTGACTTGCGGCCAGGGGAGCTGGAGCCGCTCGTGCTGCCTCCCCGCTGAGGCTCCGGGAGGAATTCCTCATGAGGGGAACGGGGCTGGATGGTTTCGGTGGAGGGCGGCCGGATATGTTTGGGCTCCAAGTAGGGGCTCATTTGCTGCAAATAAAGAAAGACAGAAGTGAGTGGGTTGATAACATAGTGGGTGACACCATCACCTTGCAATGGAGCTTGAAATATTTGTCTGAACCCAACAGAACCAAAGTGCTCCTGTTGGGTTTTGTTTACGTTCCAACTTTATGATATTTGTTGGGCTTTTAACAGATTCTAACCTGCATTTCTCCTCACTTGTTAATTTTTTACTACTTTCACTACCTTAAATCATTTTGTAATCCAGCAAGTTGGAGTCACCACTCAGCTTTGACATCCACAAGGCCCACACTTTTTAGAAAACATAAACAGTAAATTTATTCAGAAAAGTACTTTTAGTGCAGCCAGAAAAACTTTTGTTTTGTCTGACCAAATATTTTTCTATCTTCTGAACAATATGTTCTGTGTAACATGTTCTGTGTGCAGAAATAGCGGTTTAGTCTTAGTATTACTGCACAGTGTTAGAGCAGCACAACATGGAAGAATGATTCAGACTAAAAATCGTTTGAGATGATGTTGGACAGCTGACTATTTTATTGTGGCATATTATTTTTTCTATTTTATTTATCTGCACTGTAGTGAAGGCTATTACTGTCACTACACGGTATACAGGGCAGTGCTGTCAGGTTTTATAAAAAACTTTGGTTGATGACGGGCTGGTTGAGGTCAGTTTCGGACTCAGTACATGATGATGTGCTTCAGGTCAGCTCACGTTTGGATAGAAGTTTATCGGGCTCAGGTCAGGATCGGTCTTAAAATATGATCCTGTGTGTCGAGTCAGGTCAGGCTTGGAAAGAACATTAAATATTCTATAAATTTTGGGGTAGATCAAACTGGCCCAAAGTTCTGCCTCATTTAAGACTGACTGCTATACCAATAAGAATGTCAAGCAATGAGCAAGATGCCTACTGCTGTAAACCACTCTGGACAAGAGTGTCCACTAAATGCATAAATATAGTTAAATGTGATGTATGAACCTGTACAGAAAAAGGGCAAGATATTTTGAAGTCAGGTGAGCTATCAGAGTGCTAAATAAATAAATGTATTCATGTAAAAGATTTGGAAGGCAGACTATAATGATCTATATATCGTCACAGTTCCAAACAACACATTTCTACGTTTTTTTCCAATTTTGAACACAGCAAGTGTCCTTTATGTTGTGTAACATTTTTGTGACAAAAGAATTAATAGAAATGGTTCAAAATTACTTGGAATAAAATCTTTTTCATTCACTTGCATTAAAGGTTAAGAACATTTATTCATTTTCCTGTATATTTACCATTTTGGAGGGTTTTTGGATTTCTAGCTTGATTGTTCGACTGGTTGTCTAATTCTACCAGCTTACAAGAGTCACACCTATTTCTCTTCTGCAGTTTTTTAATGTAGTCCTCTTGACTTTTATAGGAGTCAAAAGGGGTGAAATAGCATGACGACGGAGGAATAAAAGATACCAGCAGGACACAGTAAGAAATGTGGCATGCTGCTGTGCTGCCCTGGAGCTGTCACCATCAGTTAGCTTTTGAATATGAAAGCGTAATGCGTCCACACACATACACACACACACACACACACAGCTTTTCTGCAGGATTACAGGACTGTTCTGGTTTGTGGGTCTCTCATTAAGATAAGCGGGGGCAGCTGCCACGGGAGCTCTTTTGTCTGAGAATTTACAGCCATCAAACTGCTCTCCCGAGCTTCAATAATTAATATGTCCTTCAGCTCTCTTCCTCCTTCTCTTTCACACCTCATTCTTCATCTTTTCCTCCCTCCCTCACTCCCATCTCCATTTCATCTCTCTGTCCATCTGTTCACAGGATTGATATCTTTATTATATTTAATGTGTGAAGCCCTCCTCTGTACTGTCTGTATGACAAACATTTCCCCTGTGCCTCTTCTATCTTCAAACAGAGGCTAATCTTCAGAAAATCAGCCCTGGATGCAAAATTGAGTCCACCACAGTGAAAAAATGACATCTTCGCCGGTGAAAGAACTTTAAAGTTCGGAATCACTGTTTTCATAAATATAAAACCATTTTTTTGCAGGTACATGTGTAAATGATTATATTATAATGCAACTACTCTACTCAACTTCACAGGTTTTTACAAATTTGTAAGAAGCTGTGAAAAATTATATGAACATGGATGATGAACAGATGCTGTAGATGATTCTAAAATTACTGAGAATGCTGTATAACAATGAAGTGAGAATAAAGTTATACTAAAATTACCATAACAGTTTCAAGTATTTGAAACTGGTGATAAAATCGCAGTTGGATAACTTTCCAAGAAATTACTATATATAAATAATTACAGTCTATTATATATTAACTATTTAGTGATGCAAAACACTTTAAGTATTGAACAGAGCACTTTAAAATACATTTAACACACATTCTGGTGTCTATCTTATAGGATTTCAGTCTGCACTGTTTAAGTTAAATTTGTACAAAATAACATCAAATACTGATATGAAAGGGATTCAAACAACAAGAAATATTAGGTATACTCCCTATATTTATGGTGCTTTAATTTGCCAAGATGTCAATTTTTGAAGTGCACCAGAGATCGAACAAAACACCACATTCCCAGTGATAGAGTCTGTTGCGTTATCAGATTATAAATAAACGAACAAAAACAGGAATAACCTGATAATCAGCTATCCAAAATGAAGCTTAAATTCCACTTTAACAACTGTGTCCTCAACATTTGGTAGTCTGGATAAACTTTACATAATGCTTAACATGTGTGACATTCCAGATTAAAAATTGGATTGGGGAATTCCTTTAATTTCTCAAAATTCCCACATAGTTAATTTATTAAGATGAAAACAAAGAAAGCCATTCAGAGTGATTTGATGTGAAATGCTCCATTCTAGAGAAACGTAGAGTCAGAATTGTTCACAGTGGTGATGATTAGAACCAGATGTCTGCCTCTAAAAGCTCCCTCATAGAAAGTTATTACATAAAAAGATTATGAATACGCTGCCAGGTGCCCAAGACATTGTTTTACAATAGTTCTGAGATAAATGGCCTAAAGCACATTTGTGTCAAAGAGATACATAGATAGATATATAGATAGATATAAGTATATATAAACCCAGAAGACAGGCATAGGTTCACTGGTTGTTTTTCATAGTAAATAAAATGGCTATAATTGCTGGCAGGTTCAGACAAAAAATCTCAAGTGCTAGTGCGGATATTCCTCCCACAGAGAAGTGGAAATTGGGAGACGTACTAAGGCAGAGTGAGGGTAGGTGTCATAGGGTGGAGGAGGGCTGTCCTGTTTAGGCATCGGAGACATCTGATCAGCATCCTCATGGTCACTCTCACTCCAGTAGTCTAAGGTCAAACCAGAAGAAGAAGAAGAAGAGGAAAAAGAGAAAAAACAGACATTAGCAGTGTTATTTATGAAAACACACACCATGCAGTAATGCTTCCTGGTTCCTTTGATCAGAACAGACAGTTACCTGCTCCATCAATACAGCACCATTATACACACCATGAAATGGTGATTCATATTAAAATGGGCTTTTCTGATCTTTTGTCTGTCCATCCTCATCAGTCAAGTCACCTTGTCACGAGAGTGCTTTCAAGTCAATCGCTCAATATAGAAAAGGCTTACCTATATTTATAGAACCTATAGGCCAGACCACACAAGATCAGAGTATGGGAATAATTGATTTGACAGGATCAGCGGAGCATGAAGGCTTTTTTTTTCTCACCATGATCCTGCCGAATCCTCTCCTGCTCCGAGTGAGCCGCTGCTGCCATGTTTAATCGACTCAGCCACCTGTGTGTGAATGGAAAAAAACACCAGTCACCTGGGGAGCTGCTAAATGCTAACATAATGCTCCTTAAATGTTATGGACGTGCTGCTGAATTGAGAGCTCAAGTTGCGGTGGCGTGGGGATACAAAGTCTTGTATCTCCAAAAAAGTATGTTTTCAGAAGAAAGAACATTCCTAATGAGCCCATAATTTAGAAACGAAAGAGTTTGACGTAGTGCATAAACAGTAGTAAGTTTCAAAAGATGTCATTCACTCCCCAAGCCATACAGTCGATACATGGAAACTTCGCTGCAAAAACAGCTAGTTTTGAATTCATCATTTATATGATGTCACAAAAACGATCCCATTTGCATATATTCGAGTTCAATTCAGACTAAAGCTGTTTAGTCCTACCTGCTCAAACTGAAGTTATAAGGACTGCCTTTTTAAATGAGGCACAATACAAGGCAGACAACCACAACAGAGCTCAATTACATATTCCAGGCTTGGTAACAAAGGGTTAAATAGAGGTTGCAAAATAGTCATGCAAAAATGAGTGATGACTATTTTCGGCACACAAATCAGGAGGAAAAAAATAAACTATAAGAAAAATGTACGATATGGGCCCTTTATCTAAGACAGTATATGTTAATGTAACAAGATATTATCGTTTTGGACTATTTCACTGTTTTTCCTTCAATGACGATATACTCAATATACTTACGATGTATGCTAGATGCAGTGAATCAGGGAACATTTTGTGTAGTTTCTTTAAAATTTAATGGTCTCTTTAGCTTGTTGAAAACACTCTCTCACCTGTTCATGTCATCCACATTATCTGCTGCAAAGTAGAAGCTCTTGATCTTGGGATGACATGCCTTAAAAGCGCTTCAGTGGAACAAATAGGAACAGAATGTTAGCAAACATTAGCACTCTCTCAGAGGTGTGAAATCTGTTTATTTTTGTGCATAAAAGGTTAAACTCACAACTTCTTGCGGCATTCATTTGCTCGATCAATTTTGAACTCCGGCAGGCTGACGAAACCTTCTGCCTTCTCATCCTGCAAAAGAAAAACAAAGCTTTTGCTGCTCTGAGTCTGAGTACACAGTCAGAAGATCTAAAGAAGAACAGAGTGAACATTAGTTGTTCAATTTTCAAGCATGAACTGGTTTGAAGACCCAATTTCAAACCAAAACTTCAATTTTGATTTCCCAAAATGATCTAATGATCCACATGAGTCCACACTTCAGTTCCTCACACTCACATACAACATTACTTACATTTTACTTTTATAGTCATTACTGAATAATAAGTCTTAAGCTTAATAACTAAATAATAAGTCTAGTGTTCAAGGGGTTAAGGCTCACCTCCTCATTGATGTACCAGTACAGACATGCATTCTTCAACACCACCCAGTACTTCTTCCATTTCTGAGAAAAGTAGCTCTTAGCGTCTTTCTTCTTCCACAGCCAGCCTTCACAGTCTCCCTGACCCAAGTCCTTACACGAAATCCGCCGCTTACTGATGGAGGACAGGGAGCCAGCTATGAAAAGAAACAGGAGAAAAAATATGCTTACAGAGGGTAATGGGTACAGGAATAACAATACCAAGCTCAGATTTTATAATGAGAAACAATTAAAACACTTTGATGTTGTTTGGAAACACTGTTAAAAGGTTCAAAACATACACATATACAGTCTACATGGAAATAGATGATTTTGAAATAGTTTTTTTTTTTGTGATGTTTCGAAAACCATTGCAATTACACCGCACATCCATTTTAATGAGGCACAATTCAGTGCTGCCAATCAGAACAGAGGTCATTTACATATCAATATTTAAAAACAACCTGTTTAATGCTAAGGCATAAAAAGCAGATGGAAAACAGTCATGTAACATAATGAATTTAAACTATTTTTACTACAAAACTCCAAAATAAAACACAAGAAAAATGTACAACATGGGCCCTTTAATTGTACTTTATGTTGAGGTAACAAACTCCTTTCATGCTGATTGAAAACGTGTGGCATAATTAAATTCATACAACATTTCATTCAAGAGTGTAGAAGAGCATTATTCTATGACAGAGAACAGCTCAGCGTCTCACCTCTTAACTTCTTCTTCGACCTTGACAGCGCTGAAGACTGATCGAATGTCTGCAACACATAACAGACCCATTACTCAAACCACTGTCCACATCTAACCCTGCATCACCTCTAACACTGGAACCTCTGCGAATGCTATAACACGCCACTCACATGATAAATGGAAGAAGTGTCTGAGGTGGGCGTGGTTACTGAGTCCTGTCGCAGCATCTCCATTTGAAGAGCAGGGACCAGGGCGTAATGGGAGGGGCTACTCCCTTTCTCATTCTTCCTCCGGCTCCGCCTACTGCTGCTGCGTCCTATCAGGAACTCGTCAGGCCCCGCCTTATCTTCACCAACATAACGAAGCAGGGAGTTTTCTGTGTGCACAATAACATGATCATAAATACGAATTTGTGGACTATGCAGAAACAGCACTGTCAAACGTACTCCGGTTATTGTCTAAAGCTACATGACTCATTACACTGCACTGTGCATTATACACAGTGCAGTGTAATGTGAAATGTACTTTAGTCAAAGAACTTGGGGTTCAAAAACTTTTATCTCTTTTATCTTTTAATTAATTTTACATGACCATTCTCCAGCTTTTCTTTATCCTTTTACATTAAACAGGCTGGTTCTGTTTCTGTGTCATTTAAGACCGATATATGTAAATGACCTCTGTTCTGTCTGGCTGCCATGTTTAATGCCTCATTCAAATAGCAGTCCGGACCGAGACACTCCTTATAACTTCAGCATGAATAGGTGGAACTAGACTGCTGTAGGCTGAAAAGGTGTATGCATGTAAATGTGCTGGTCTTGCTGACGTAATAAAAAACAATGAATTCTAAACAGGCTGTTTTTGCAGCTTAGTTTCCAAACATGGACTGAGGACTGAATTGACATTTTGACACTGTTTACTTTTATTTAAAAAAATCGAGGAGCACTTGGTTTTCCATGGTATGGGTCCTTTAAATGGTCATTTATTGATATTTTATTAAGATTGTACTTGCCACATTTATATCATGCTCACAGGAGAGTTTTATTTCATATAGCTTGACTTAAGTTTTGTACATACTAAAATATGATGACCCTGTAAAGGCTACATAGCATTTATTGTTTTGTTTTCGTTTACTGTTATCAAACTATTTTAGTTCTTGTATAACTGGGTTCAATTGTTCCACTGATGTGACCTTTGGCTCTGTAGATTTTACAATTTGACTTTTGTAACCAGGAATAAAGCTTATTCATGAAAAGGCATCTAGTTTGTGTCATGGGGCTGTCTAATGAGTAAAATGGATGTATTCACAAAACTGGGAAAAATGTGGGATTAAATAGGTTAATAAAATATACTGGAGAGGATGAAATGATTACAGAATGCTGGTTTATAAATCAAGAAAAAGAAACATGCATTCTGTCACTGTAACTAAATAGACTATTATCTCTGCTCCTACTCTCTTTGCCACTGAGCTGCTCGCAGCCAATCAGATGTCAGCATCTTACCAGGACCTCCCTCTTGGAGTTTCCATGGCAATGGAATAGCACAAAATCTCAAATTCTCAGACAAAGAGAAGGACACAAACGCAGAGAAACATAACATGGGGAAAAAACAGGCGAGGGGAGGGAGGGAGGATCGACACAGAGCAAAAGCCACAGATTAAAAAGGGTGGTGAGAAGAAGTAAGAGGGTCAGAGGGAACTTGATGGAAATTGAATCAGTATTCATGGGTTCAACATGACCAAAAGAAGAAGGCTAAACACCCCCTGCCCTCCTACTGCCTCTCTCGCTCCCTCCTCCCTCACCCACCTCTCCTCAGCTCTTTCTTCAGCTTGGCTGGGTCTTCATAGTCTCCCACCCAGTTATACTCCACCGGCATGGAGATGGGCCTCAGCCTGCCTGGCTCACACACACCGACGAATTGCGTCAGAATCACACCACACAGAGCACCACACAAAAAACCTCACAAAGCCAATTACAGATTGTACTTTGAATTTTACTGTGATTTAAATGTGTTCATAATTTCCACATGAATAAAATATATTACTTCAACACAATTTGGTCTTTCAGCTTAAATTTGACAATAATTATTTTTATATACAGTACTGTGCACAAGTCAGAGACCTCACTTTTATTTAATTTACAGTCAAAACAGTTATTATGTTATTCATTTTCAGGAGATATCTGTGAAGGGGGTAGATATGGACTATTCTACTGAATTAGTTTAAACTGTGATCCCCACCACAAAAAACATTAAAAAAAAATTTAAGTGTTCAGACCTTAGATGCTTAGAAGGGTTATGTTATGGTCTATTTAAATGCAAAGCAATAATTAAGATAGTAATAAGAAATCATATGAAATCATAATTTATAGGATACTTTATATTGGGAGACTGTCCTGAACCCTAACCCCCATTTTCAACTTGTGAAAACGGTATAGATTTAGCGTGATTTTAATTTTTACATAAAAACTTTCAAAATTCAAAAAATGCTGTCCAAACCCACACAATACCACACTAAATAGTATGTCAAACCCAGTACACCATCACTAGAAGTCCATCCATTAGTGTATTATGTATAGTAGTATGCAGTTTTTGACACAGCTAAAAAGTTTTAGTCTATAGGTGGAGCCTGATTTAAACCACACCCTTGCATTTTAGACCAGGAGGTGGGACTGCATCCCTGAGCAGTTGGATCCTATTGTTTTGAAGTAAATTAAGTACATTGTTTTCAATGTAAACTCTGCAAATCAGTGTGTAACCTTGAGAATTGCCACTACCAAAACATATATTTTCTGCAATTAAGAAAACATGTTTGTGTTTTCATAAAATATTGTGATTTTATGTGTCTACAACTATTCAAAGCTGTTTTTGCTATTAGCTAAAGTTGTCACTACCAAAACAGGCACTACTGAAACATTTGGTAAAGTTTTGTTATGATTGTTTTAGTAGTGACAAAAAGGAATCTTAAATCATTTATGTAAATAAAATAAACACAATTAAGGCATAAGGTCATTCAAAGCAAAAGGATTTTAGTTTAAAGTCCAAGTTAAAAGCCCAAATTGTCTGTTGAACTCTGACCATTTTGGCAGAATGACCCATATAATATAAATCACTTCTGTATGGAAGGGGAACGTCAAAATCAAATAAGTGAAAAATGAAAGTTTTCTAAATCTGGAGTTTAAAAAGTATTAAAAGAAACAGAGAAAATGAGACTCTTAACAACCATGTACAATCTAGTGGACCATCAAAAATGTCACCATCAGATAAACAGCATATGCAGCTTTCATCTTTGTGAAAATCTGGCTCCACTCTTGTCTCAACAACTAAATAAAATGTCAATTTTTTCAGTATTTAGTGTGTCCACCCTTAGCCTCTATTACAGCTTCCATTCATTTCATAACACTTGCTCATGCTTCAGTTGCTTCAGTTTTTAAAAAAAATTTGCAGGGATATTTTTCAGTGCTTCTTATAAACGTTGCCATAGTTCAGTCTTAGATGTGTGTTGCATTTTCTGCTTCTCAGGATCCAAATAATCCATATTACAAATGTAGATTCATCAGTCCATGAAACCCTACACAAGATGAAAGCTTTAAGTACTGCTTATTCAATGGTGACAGTTTTGGTGGTCTATCAGGTCCTGCACAGTTGTTAGGAGTTCCATTTTCTTAGTTTTTCACTTATTTTTCTTTGGATTTCCTCTCCTCATTTTAGATGTACATAGGAAAGAAATTTGCAAGGCAGCTAAGGTGAGTTTGGGTAGTTGCTTGTGTGAATGTTAACCCCTTAAAATCCCAGGCTTATTACACACTAAGGCTTATTATTCAGTAGTTAAAGGAAGCTTTGGGAACAGCTTTTGTTGGGGCATAACTTTTACTTAATGGCTGTTTTGACTGGAAATTTGATAAGCAAAAGCATGGTCTGTGACTTTTTCACAGTACTATAAAATACTTTATTAAATGTGGAAATGATGTAAATGTTTGAATCACGTAAATTCAATCCTTCACCTTATTCAGTGCAATTTTCCCTTACCCAGATCAGTCCAAGGGCTCAGACAGAAAAGATCTTCACTGAATAACATGGGCCACAGAGCTATGCCATAGCGAGACTGATTAAGGAAATACGCATCTGTGGTGTAGACATCAAACCATAGCAGTCTGGACTGAGGAGAGCAGTTCAAAGCATGTACCATATGTTGGGGTGTTGTCCCTGCGCACAGGAGGAGGGCCCTGGTTCTGGTCGTATTCGTAGCAGTAGAGAACCGCATCCTCGTCCAGCACAGGAAAGTGCCGTCGACACTCCTGGTCCAGGAAAGAGTTCGGTGACTCTGAACCTTTAGCAACGTCATGCTGGGACATGTCACTGGCTGTTCCTGTGTCCTCTCTACAACAGAAAAAAACTGGGGGTGTCTCTATCCTGGATACAGATTTGTATAACTTATACAGTATAGATATCTACTTTTTAAAATATTTTAGATGTTTTATTCCACTACACTGTAAATAGTTTTGTTGAGTTCTGTTTCAAGATTTGATCACTACTTCTGGATATTAATTCCTCAATTCCAAGGTTGGAATGATATGTGAAAAACCATAAAGCAGTGATTAGTAAATTCTGTTTGACCTGTATTAAATTGAAAACAGTACAAAGACACATTATTTGACATTTCACCTTATGAACTTTAACATCATTTGATAATCTGTTGGGGACTGACAATGCCAGTTGATCCAGTTTTGAAAGCAGAAATATTTACCAGTCTTCTATTATACCAGTCTTCAGCTGCACAATCATAAGAGGTCTTTGTTGTTGTATTTTGCGCTTCACAATGTGCCACACATTTTCAACGCAGACAGATCTGGACTGCGGTCAGGCCAGTCTAGCACCCGGACTCTGATTATGCAGCCTGCTGTTGTAACACGTGCAGAATGTGGTGCTGTCATACTGAATTAAACATGGACATCCCTGAAAAGGACGTCATCTAGAAGGCAGCATATGTTGCTCTAAGATGTGTATATATTGCATCTTTCAGTGTTAACAGTGCCTTCACAGATGTGCAAGTAACCCATGCCATGAGTACTATTACACCCCCATACCATGACGAACACTGGCTTCTGAACATTATGCTGGTAACAATCTGAACAGCCCTTTTCTACTTTTACAATATCAATTATTCCAGAAACCTAAATGGTTGACTTGTCAGACCACAGTATATTTCCACTGTGCATCGGTACATTTTATATAAGCTTGAGCCCATTTCTGGACATTGTTGACATGGCTTCTGTAGTGCATAGTATAATCTTAGCTTTTATTAATAAATGTAGCGACAAACCTTGTTTATTGACAACTGTTTGTCAAAGTATTCCTAAAACCATATTGTGATATCCATCACAGAAGCATGCAGGATGTAGTGGTAATTCCAGACGTTTGAATATAAATCATCTGATGAAGCAGTGATGTACAGTGGGCTCTGTGTGGATGTGTGTCTACCTGGGCGTGTATGGCTCTTCTGGTGGTGGGGGGATGTAGAGATCCTGCAGGGCGCAGCTGTCCCGTCTGGATGGTGTGCTGAGGGTGCTGGAGGGCGTGGCTGCACTGCTGCTGGGGCTGGGGGGGATGATGGGCTGAGAGAAGAGCAGAAGCAGCAGTAATCATTAGCATCATTAGCATACAGATTACTGCTCTACAGGTGAGCTGTGAGGTGAGAAAGCTAATATTCATATCTGTGTAGTCATAGCAACATAGCTGTCCTAAAGAGTGCATCATGAAATGAGTTTATTATTGCTTTCACTATCCACTCCTCTTTATTTCTCCCCCTCTTCTTTTCTTTCTTCTCTCTTTTTTTGCAGCTGTCTCATTAGGTTGTTTTACCGTACAATCTCAGAAATAAAGGGTTTTTAAGTGTTTTTGATTTGGAATCACATTTCTAGGAACATTCTGAGGAGGTCCTTTAAACTTTAAAAAGGCTGAAACATTTCTACACTGTACACAATTTGATACCAAGCAGAAACCTTTAGCACTCATTTCACAGAAGACTTCATTGTCTGTCAAAAGTCAGAGACACTTCATTTATATATTTTCCTGTCGAAATGCCTATCAAGAACAAACAATTAATTTTTCAGATTCTTCTAAGGAGATTAGATATGACAATTCAGCCGCACAAGAAAGAGGAAAGTCAAAGGAAAATAAGTGAAAAACATATTCAAAAAGTATTGAAGGGTATAGAGAAAACGGGACTTCTAAGAACTGTGCAAAACCTGGTAGACCACCAAAACTGTCACCATCAGATAAACAGCACTTAACCCCTTAAATGGCCAAAAAGGGGGCTAAAGTTTTATTACACACTTCTATAACCTAAGAATAGCTCAGCCAGCTTGCATTAAAGTCCCTGTAGCTACTGAATAATACGCTTTAGTATGTAATAAGTCTGGAATTTTATGGGTTTAAAGCTTTCATCTTTGAGAGAGAGGAGAAAATCAATCTCCACTCTTGCTTAGATCTGGAAAAAAATCCACAGGTGTTTCTGTCCATCCTTCCCCTGTGAGCTATAAGTCTGAAAGAACGTGTAGCAGTCAACAAGCTGTTACTGAGAAAAGAAAAAGGATAGAAAAGAAAAAAAAAACTAGCAGCTGCTGGTGTTCTCAGAACAATGGACTGACCACCCCAGAGTCCAGATCTCAACATCATTTAAACAGGATTACTTCAATTGTGAAGCACAAAATGCAGCCAACTTCTGAGACTGAACTCTGGAGGTGTGGAAAAATACAAATTTCTTTGAAAAACCAAAAGCATGATTTTTGAAAATAATGTAATAAATGTAAAGAGTAGACGAACTTAAATACAGAAAAAATGACATTATATTTAGCTGTTGAGGCTTCTGTGTAATGTTCTATTAAATATACGTTTATGCCTTTTTCCCTAATGCTGAAAAATGAATGACTTGTATTTAATGGCTGGAAATGAAATAAATGAAGTGTGGTTTCTGACTTTTACATAGTACTGTATGTGCAAGACATATACATAGAATACATACAGTACAATAAGGTGTTTGGACATCATGTACCACTGATGGTGTAGGTGAAACCTGCACTTTCCTTGGCCAATAATTAAATCCCTGACAGACAGGAGCAGGAAAAGGGATTGGGCAGAAATGGATGAGCAGCAGATTAGAGCCAGGGGAGAAAGAAATGGTGGTGGGGGGGGTGGGGGGGTGGGAGAGAATGAGGAGGATGGGTTGAGATTTGCCATGCGCTCCAGTTGGTCATTGCCCTTAGGGCAGAGAGGCAGCTTTTAACGCAGAGCATCCCTCAGCATGGGGGCTGGGCCATCATGGATCATTATTCACACACACACACACACACACACACACACACACACATAGATGCCAGCTGTACCTGCAGGGCCAGGGGCTTCCATCTCATGTTCTTCAGTAAGGCAGGAGCGGAAGTGAGAGTGCTCTGGGGTCTTTTCTTTAGCGTCAAAGACACCCCAGCGGGGTCGCCACGCAAAGAGTTCACCAAGTTCTTTAACTGCCAGCCCACCTGCACAAGCACAAAAATATACACTTTAAAAATGAAGGTTCTTAAATGATTCTTGAACATGCATTTGGTGTAGAATGTGTAATTGGTGTAGAACTTTTACATTATGTGGAGATTTTTTCGACTTTAAAAAGATTTTTCACGCTCACATATCTCATTTGCAAAGACAGTCCTTTAAAGAACAGTTCTTTAGTTGAACCAAAAGCAGTTCTTGTATGGCATTACTCCAAAGAACCATTTTTGGCATCTATATTATTATAAATGTAGGTGGATATTACATCAATGTGAATGTGGCAAGTCTGCCCTATCAGTTTTGGAGGATTATAATCATTATAATTCATTACATTAATGTCATATGCTTGTTTGTTTGAAAGTTGAAATTTTGGATTGACTGTACTGAAGAATCACACTTCTTCAAAATTCTGTCCATACTTCATTCAGGGATGGATTACTGACTGGGCCATTGGGGCCAGTGCCCCGGTGTCTTTGAATGCCTTGAGAGGGGTGAAAAACTTGGGACAATCCACAGCAGATGTAAACATTAAATGAATGAGCAGTTCTTAATTTTGCCCAAATTACAAAATAAATCTAAAAATATACATATTTTATCTTTTCTCAGGCCCATTTTTTGTTTTCAGTGTCTTTCAAATGAGATGTTACTGTTTGCCCTTTCATGTGTGTAAGACTGCTGCTGTTTTGCATTATGACTCAATTTGGCTTGAAAGAAAAAGCGAAGAATTTTACACAAAAATCTTCAATTCTTTACAGAACAGTTATGATGTAGACACAGTAGGATACTGCACATTAATAAGGCTAATTTTGTTTTTTTTCAAAATCCAAAAAACTCATGAACGTGAAATATTATTCATTCTCATCCTGTTACTGTTGGAGTACTCATAACCTTAAAACTCCAAAGACGTGCAAGACCATGATCCATCCCTGCTTCCACTATCATGTAAAAGTTTGTATTTTTTAGTGTATTTTTAAAACTTCTTACCAAAACAGTCTTACCAAAACAACCAAATTGAATTGATTAATGGTGAAATCTTTCGTGATGCATTAAATCATTTCCTCTAGCAATATAATCAAAGTAAATCAGTGTGAGGACAGAGACATATGAGCCACATAGGCCTCCAAAACACAGACCTATGCCCATGACATCATAAGCTTTTACAGCACTGTGTAATGAGCTTTTTACAGCACTGTGGTTCATTTTTTCTCCCATTCCTCTTGGCAAACTGTCTTTACCATCACTGTGCTTATGGTGTTCTTGGGATCATACATGCAGCTCGTCTTTCTCCAAACACAATGAGCAGAATTATTACCAAAAAGTTCTATATGAGCAAATTTTAGATGTACATCTGTGTTGGTTCTTTTTCAGCAGAAGAGTTTTAGGTGGGGTAGGAATGGAAATGATTGCGGTGCAGTTCACTGCTTATTGTTCTCAGTGTAACTGCTGTTCCTGCTGCTTTTAGGTCATACTATTTGGAGTTCCATGAACTTACCATTATCAATTACCAATTTTTATTTAACCTTAATTATATATATATATATGAAACAAAAACAATGAAAAGGTGTATGAATACTTTTCCCTCACTGTAAATATTAACAGAAGGCTAGCTGCATGTGTGTTGGGGGTCTGTAAGTGGTGTGTATGCCATGAGACAAAGGCTGCAGGGTGAAATTAGAGTGATAATAACACAGATGGCACGCACCACTGTCTGATGATTGACCTGAATGACCTCGTCGCCAGCATGGATTTTCTTACAGCGGTCAGCTGGGGACTGCAAGAAAGAGACAGAGAGGAAGTAGAAAGAGAGAGAGAGACAAAAAGAGCGTGAGAGAGAGAGAGAGAGAGAGAGAGAGAGAGAGAGATGGAGAAAGGACAGTGGTGGAAAAAGGGGGGATTACACGCAGCTCTACACCCTCATTTCCCAGCACGTCATCAGTTTTTTCATTATTGAAATAATGAAAATTGCCTTTTACCCCTTCTGTAGTTCCTGTAATTACATGTAGGCCGTCATACGTCGACTTGATGTACATGCCCTGGGGGAAGAAGAGGAACATTTTAGAGCCATTGCCTGAAAATCCCGGTCACACACACGCTGAACACTCCTACTCTATTTCAAAGCCCCCTGCTGTCAGATACATGCACTCAAACAGCCTTTGACACACAAGTTTCAGAACAGCCAGCGAGAGGAGAAAGAAAGAGCAAGCATGAGAGAGCAAATTTTTTATCCAGCTCTGTCCAGGCTCCATTGAACTGCAGCATGTGTTTGTGCATATGTGAGTATGTGTGTGTGTGAATGTGTGGAAGCGTTACAGCCCCAAGCTTGCATGACCACTACAACTAGCATCCTTGACTAAGTGCTGATGAGTGTGCACAGTGACGTGCAGGGGAGCGGTAGCGTGTTGTGCTCCTCACGTGCTGCTCAACACTCGTCCTGCTTTTGTCACTGTTCAAATACGTCCAGCCTCTCAGAGCCTCACATGCTGCTACAAGCAGGCCACACCGCCCCCTATCCATTCCACTTACATTTCAACTGTGAATCAACTGATCACAACAGTCTAATGTTTAGCCCTTTGAATTCTAGGCTTACTATTTGTTATTAATACTTCTTTTTCAGTAGTTAATTTATATTATTTGCTAACTATTATGATACTCTATATTATTTGCTAACTACTATGAAACTAAGTTACATAGTTATGAGAGTGATAGATTGAAGTGTGAGCCCACATACATTAAGGTTTAAAGTGATAGTCTGGTCAAAATTGACATACTTTTCCCCTTAGCCTAAATGTAATTGATCTACACTAAGTAAAAACTTAGTGTGCAAAGTTTGCTTCTTTAGTTTTGTACTGGAGCTATGAAGTGGAGTTAGCATTGTACAAACTTGCCTCAAATCAGATCAAATCTCAAATTTTTTCTATTTTTGCAAATCATTGCTGCAAGAAAATGTAAAAAGGTTGAAGTTCAAAAGTATCTACATTGTTATTTCCAATTTGTCTAGATTATTTGAATACAGTAGCTGGCCTATACATTGTATGAAAATTTCATAATGAATAGACCAATAGAAATGCACTATATACAAAAAAGAAATCTAAATAAATAAAATCCCTTTACATTAAGTTACATTAAAGGGGAATTCCACACATTTTCTAAATTTCTGCATAATTCAGTCTTTGAGATGTAAACTAACAGTCATTCAGAGTGGTTTGATGTGAGATGGTTTATTATTGAGAAACTTGGTGTTAGGTGAGTTATGGTGATAGGAACCAGAGGTCACAATGCCTACAACACAAATATAGTATTTACTAACGAAAAAAAGGTTTCTTTGGGGATTATTTTGCCTTACAACTTAGTCTGTACCCCTCTGTCATGAGTGCATTTGTAAAAAAAACATTTTTAGGCCAAAATCTTATCTCAAGACTATTATAAAACAATGTCTCATCAGGCATCAGGTAACAAATTCATAGCCATTTCATATAATAACTTTATGTGAGGGAGCTTTTACAGGTATTAATCACTCCAGGTGTCTGGTTCCTATCACCACCACTGTGAACGATTCTGACTCAGTAAGTTTTTTTCTAGAATGGAGATTTTTGGAGAAATTATTATTATTTTTTTTGACAGTAATGAACTGTCATACAAGGTCATAACATATCATTCAAGTCATTTTATAGATAATGGTATGTCTTGAATGTAAGACTAATTCAGCTGTGGCAGGAATTTGTTTTGCATCTTGCTGTGGAGGGAAGAACAGGGGTTTAAAACATCTTTGAGCAGGTTCTGAATACAGTGGCAATGTATTCAGGTTAGCCTCATGAAGCAGATGGAATTCACTTTAAATCTTACCCATAAAAGAACTCAGCTATCACTCATTCTGACTAAAGCTTAACCACTTAAGTTTTGTCCGGTAAAAACAGCGAATCCTAGGAGATAAATAAATCTCATGCTAATGTTGGGGGAGCTCCTGCAGTCATGATTTCAGGGCAGTTTGAGCAGGGCACCAAACTTCGCTGGACTCCAGCTCTCCAGGACCAGAGCTGGACACCCCAGTACATGTAATTCACAAAGCCACATGAATGCAGCCACACCCACCAGCCCCTCTGTGGATTTGATGTTGTCCAGATGCACCACCTCCAGATGAGCTGCCTGTGACACCATGGGGTCTGAGGACAGCGTGATGATGTGGTCACACACTCCTGACAGCGTCTTACACTGCAGAGGGAGGGGAAAGAAAAGAGATTCAGCACCAATGGTTTTCTAGGTCAGTCTCAGTTCACTCACAAAATGTGCATTAGCAAAAACAAACTTTATTTATTGCATTATGTACTGATGATGAAATGCCCTCAGAGAACTGTGCAATATCAACAGAGCAGTAATGTATGAATACAGATGAATAAATACAATGCAAACAAGAGCGTAATACTCTAGAAAGATTGTGACAGTCAGGCATAGATTTTGTTCCTATGTTTATATTAAGTGTCTGTAATAAATGTGCAGTTACACATTAACAATGAATAAAGCAACACCGAAACTACCGCTGATATATTCACTGTTACACTGTTAGTGTAGCACAGCTTATGTAAATACACAGTCTCAATGTTTACTCATGTAATTACTCAAGTGTGTTTTATAGTTGTAGCAGCATATTTTTTTTCTTATGTAAATACACATGTATAATAGAGTGAGTAATTACAATTGTATGAACTGCTGTTTTTCAGGAGATGTGTAATTACCCACCATTATGACTTCCACAGCATCTGCATAGGGAATGCCAACTTTCCCAACATTTAGCTGGCTGTACTAATGACACAAATATTCCACAGTAACTATATTAAATTATGTAAAAGTTACACTTTAAACATGAGTGGACAGCTCATGTGTAGTTGTTATGTGGGTACATTGAAATTACAGATAATAACAGGTAATCCAGACACTGCATGGATTATGTTGCAAAATGCATTATAGACCATTTCAAAGAATTTTGTTTTTATTTTTTTCATGACATACGTTGCTAGGAGTGGGCTTTACCCATACAAGAAATATGAATGGTATGATGAATAACACCTTTATTAGAAAAAAAAAATGTGTTTTCCACTGTATTCATGTATACATTTCAGATGTTATTTTTTTTCAAAAACGTATTATTTTAAAAAAGTTACAATTGAATTTGTTGCATTTTGGAATAAAACTTTTCATATTTCATCTTGCATAATAGTTATTTTTAAAGATATTTGCTGTTGCCGTGTAAATTCCATCACATTACAGAATGGTTTAAAGCCAGATCTTTGATTAGGTTACCATATCACAACACAAGCACACTACTACAGCTAGCTAAATGCAGACACAGCACATGTACTTATAAAGTAGGTAATTACACACTTGTTACAATCAGAAATGGTCTTCGAAAAATAGTGGCCTATTACAAATGTGTAATTACATAAGAGAAAATATGCTGTTACAATTATCAAGATACACTTGTTTAATTACTGTAGTTACATTGTTGTTGTATGTATTTTAATGAGTAATACAGTTATTGCAGGAAATTATTGTAAAGTGGGACCAAGTCAATGTCATTAGAGATTTTATTTAAACTAATTCAGGCATTTTTCTTTTGGTCCACTAATCACAAAATGTTCACACAATGTAAAGAGCAGCTGGTTGTATTGAAAAGTAAAAACGGAGGAAAGATTTTGATATGATGGTATATGGTATATGATGATATGCTATCTAGCTAGCTAAGAGAACAGAGTTATTCATATCAAACATAGGGATCAGGTAATGAAGCAGGCTCTCTCTCTCTCTCTCTCTCTCTCTCTCTCTCTCTCTCTCTCTCTCTATCCTTCTCTCTCTCTCTCTCTCTCTCTCTCTCTCTCTCTCTCTCTCTCTATCTCTATCCCTCTCTCTCTCTCTCATAAGCAGGAGCCACTGCTGGGCTGCAATATGCTGAGCTTTTGATTGTGTGGTCACTGTGACGTCCCATAAACACCATCTGTGCTGAGACGGCGGGGATGTTGTTGATGCCTTGTGATGTAATCACGTGAGCAGGCAGTCATGTGATCAGATGAGCATCTCTGACAGATCGCCGTCATGAGCTACTGCCATCAGCCTATTCATCTGTCTCCCATCTTGTCTCTCATTCTGTCTCTATTTCTGTGTGTGGATCCAGTTACCCATGTGTGAAAGCCTGGCGCTTTCGGTTTGTCTGTGTATGACTGAAATATGAATTGTATGTGTCATTATCAGGAGTGTTCTCAGTGCTGCGGCTGAAGATCTCTTTCTCTCTCCCTCTCTCTCTCTGTCTGTCTTTCTCCTGTCCTGGTATTTATAGCAGGAGGGCAGCTGCGTCCTGATGGGCACTGCAGCGTAGGACAGACAATCTGCAGAGCTCTATAAATTACACACGCGCACACATACACACACACGCGTACACACACACACAAACAAACAGAGATACACACACACACACACACAAACAAACAGAGACTCACATACACACACAATTTTTCACTTACCACATGCAGGATTTTATTCTCTGCTTCATACACGGTGCTGTCCTGCAAAAGAGAGAGAGATGACATTTTACATTAGGATTAGGATTATTCCTTGTCACCTCAGGGCCTAGTAGGTCAGGTCATAGATTTCCTCAAAAAAAAAAAGTAAGAAATAAAGGATTGAATTCCTGCCACCACGCAAAATTTCACACTTGTGCTTTGAATCGTTTTTAGGCCTCTTAAATGAAACGAAACTCGTCACTGAATGCTAATGTCTGACTGGATGGAGATCAAATTTTTAGAGAGAATAAATACAACACTAAGAATAATATTTAACGTAAATAGGGTTAATGTAATATAGACCTGATAGCTGTCACAATTATCAGATAAAACTTGATTATTCAATTTAAAAATTAATTGATTAAAATTTTAATTCTTGATGAATCAGTTTAGTGATCATTTGAATGAAGCCCAGGGTATCTGCAGGTCATTGAAAAGCTGTGTTTAGCAGTCTGAAGATTCTCCACAAGGGGGAGCAGTGAGCGCTCAAGTTGCTTATGTCTGCTGGCCTGAGTAGTACTAAACTCTGCACGGGGAAACGAATAGACCCTACCGCTAGCTTGATACATAAAGTTGAAATTCCCATAGAAAAGCTAGCAGAAATTAGACTGTCATTATCTTAGAGGTGGTATTTACACTACTTATAAAGTAAAGATTTCTGCATTAAATGCTGCTATATAATAATATGCATGGCCAAGACAAGTTCATTAAAGATTCCTCTAAAAGTGCTACTAACATTACTTAGTTAATAGCGTTAAATTCACACCTATATATATATATATATATATATATATATATATATATAAACATTTTTTTCCATAATTTAATCATATCTGTTGGACTCTCTATGGTCTCTATGGACCAAAATGAACTAGAAAAAAGCCTGCTGGAAATGATGTACACATTAGAATCATTGAATTGCACGCCTTTTTTCCAGCGTGCAGAGAATTTCACGTGCATTTGTAACAGGAATATAATAAGAAGCAGAAGCTCTTGCAGCCAACAGGAAAAGATTAATTAGTCAGTGGAGCAGCCAGGTGAAGCAGGTGAGGCAGGGGAATGCTGTGTATGCGTAGTGCTCATGCTGCATATCCTGCAGCCAAACCCTGTCTGAAGTGCTGGAGGCAGCTGAGCTATCTCTCCCTCTCAGACAGCAGTGAGTGGTGAGTCAGTCCACCCACATTGTGCTGCTGCAACACTTCCCTTCTTCCTCTCTCTCCTCTGCTCATTTCCTCCTCTCCTCTGCTCTTCCCTCCATCCCTCTGAGACATCAGCTCTCCGTGACCACGTGTGGGTGGAGACGGCTGCTTTCTAGGAGGAACTCCGCTGTCCAGCTTTAGGACTGTATTTATGACTAATAGGTAACATATTGGGAGACTCCCTCAGCCCACAGCCTGTTCATCTCAATGAGGCCTCACATACACAGTAATTAGGGCTATTATATAATATCTATTTACACACTTTGCACGTCAAGCAGTTTTAAAATGCCAGTCAGATACAAAACAGGCTAAACGGAGCATTTCCAATCCTAACCCAGACCGCAACCACTGAAAAATAAAAAAGTTGCTCTTCATTTATTTTTTGAAAACAATATTTTATCATACATTTTTATTGTTTTTTATTTCTTACCTGATGTCCACTTATGATGATTTATGTACCAAAAATAGTTTAAATTCATTTTTACATCCATTTTCCACTCTCTCTTTGTCCTTTACAACTAAACAGGATGTTTTTATTACTGTGTCTTTAAGTCTATGTAAAACAGTTCTGTTCTGATTGGCTGCCCTGTATTGTGACTCATTAAAAAGTAGTCCGGGCTGAAACAATCCTTATGATATGAATGGACAGGTCAAACCACTGTACAAAGTATACTTTAAACTATTTCACCATGGTAATTTAAAAATCTTACTAAATAATATTACTGTAATTAAAACTGTAATTATCTATTTATAGTAGCATATTGATATACAATAACCAAAAAAGCTTTTTGATTAGCAATATTTGGAACTAGAATTCCAAACTTTTGAACAGCAGTGTATATATAAAGTGTTGGTTTACATGACATCACTAAAACAGTGAAAATGGGTTGTTTTTGCAGTTTAATTTACATATATGGACTGGAGAGAGCTTCAAATAAATCTCAACAAGATTATTTTTTTTGACATTTTACTGTACTCGAGGACATATGGTCTTCACAAGGACAAACATACACACACACACACACACACACACACACACACCATAATGTCCTAATTCTATAGACTCAAAGTTCTGGGACAGCAGTTTCTATCTCTTCTCTCCCACAGGAGCCAGGCCATCATCAGCCGCACTGCCCCATGCTGCAGAAACATTATTTCAATCCAGAGCGTGGAGCTGAGAGCAAGGAAAAAAACATCTATGTCCTCCTTCTACTGAATCCTCTGCCCTGAAAACATCACCCGGCTCTCAAAAGCGTGCCTTTAAAAAGCCTCTGTAGCCTCGCGGACTTAAAATACATCACCACGTCAGCTCCAGGGGAAAAAATAGCAAGCATTTTGAGGTCAGAAAGCACAAATATCAACATTGAGGTTATGCTCAGTGGATTGGGGATGGTGGGAAGACTGTTGTTTTGGTGTGAATTTGAAGGCATACCTGCTGCACTATTGTCGTCAGCTCCAGACACAGCTGGATGACGTTGTTCCTGGTCAGGGAGTAGTCCGCCACTGCGGCAAAGGGAGACCTGAGGAAGAAGTAACACCTGGAATTAACCATTAGATCACTCTTAACCACAGCTGTGTTGACTGTAAAAAAAAATGGAAAATGGCTGAGGTATATTTGAGCATTTGCGAGATCTGGACTGGTAAACAACTGCATTAGCAACTGTCAATTGGCTTTAATAAGTGTTTTTTGATTTAGTGGGAAGGGCATTAGAATTATTGTCCATGGTAATCCACGAGCCACTAGAGCTTAAGGGGTTAATATAAGAAAGAAAGAGAAAAATTCATGGAAAAGAAGGAGCGCACGATGAGGAAAAAGGCACTGAGGGAGACAGAGAGTGGCTAAGATGAGCGAGAGACAGAAAAGGCAGAAAGAAAGGAGCGAGCAGATTTCTTGGTTCACTGCACACATTCACTGAGGACAGGCCAGTAGAAAAGAGCTCAGTGCGTGGCAGCACTCATGCCCATCTCAGACTGACTGTCATTATGTCACCAGAGGATCTCCTGACTTGCACACTACTCAAACTATGCTACCCATCAGGAGTTTAGGATCAATATATTCAATTATATAAATCCAATTTGGTTGAAGATAAATGGGTAAAATCATTGTGACTTACTTGTTTACATGGATCTAGGAAGCTATAAATAAATAAATAAATAAACAAATACGTTTTATAAATAGTTTTGAAAGTGGTAAAATAGAGGTAGATCTTTTGCTTCCTTTGTGGACTTTTTTGTCTTACAATGCCCTGCATGTACTTCTCCACCATTAATGGATTTAGAAAATTACGTTTTTAGGCCAAAACCTAACATACAAACTCTCAGGCATCAGAGACTATAACGATTTTGTGTAATAACTAACTGTGATTTAACTTTTAGAAGTATTATATTATTCAGACGTCCGGTTCCTATCACCACCACTGTGAACACTGTGAGTTTCCCTTTAACCCTTAGAAACCTAAACTTGTTGGGATTTTTTTTTTTTGTATTTTGGGTCAATTACAATTACAATTGCAATTCTAAAGTACTTACAAGAGACGGTCACACATGCCATATGTTGTTAATTTCAGGAGTCCCTGGGCTACTCAGATATACCATTATTTGACATGTAAATCCTAACAAATATTTTATATCTTGATGAATTTGACTAATTTTTAATCAAAAATTTACCTAGCGCCTTCAAAATTTTGTAATTTTTTGCTTAAGATATTGTAGATATCTTTTTAGAAATTATTTGTCTGGAGTGTCTGTGAGCTGAAAGTGCAAAAATTGTGATAGTGATTCATTCTATTGGTTATTAAAAGTAAACAAAAACAATTAGCATAAGGCGGCTATGTTTTTATTGATTTTCTGTCCTCTTGGATTCATGCTGAGTGCATGAAACTCTGATACACAGCAAGACAGGCTTTATTTTAAACTACAAATTGAGTTGCATTATTAATATCGTATATTCTTAATACTCAAAATCAATGTAAACTGAAAGACAGAACTGAATATTATTAATTTTATAATAATATTTGTCATATTTATTGTTATTTAACTGTTAAAATGTGTTTTAGGGCCTGTTTGTTTGATTTTGAGAGAAAGAGGGAAAGTAATAATATAGTATACTATTAATAAATGAATCCTGTTGTTATAAAAACATGTGAAACATTGAATAAAGCATGAAACACCTTTTCAGGTTATAACATAAAAAAATCTACACTGTTTATGATACAATTAGATATAATCAGTAATTCCAAACTTTTGAATGGTAGTGTACTTCCATGCATTTAGAGCCTGTTTTACTAACAGCACAGTATTAGAGTGTCTGAGATGTCTGTATCTAGACACAGGGACGTAAGCACATGATGACAACAAAGAGGAGGCAGTGAGCCGGCATATACAATATTCATGACTGTGGGATCCCTTGTCATAGTTTATAATGAGGGCGTAATAAGCGCTAAGTGATGGCCCTGAGCCACGTCCTGCTGGCATCCTGTCCTCAGAGACTGAATGAGAATGAGGCCCCGCCAGGCCCACCATAATACAGGGACATGGAACAGGAAATTAATTGCTCTCTGGAGTTATGAGTATGTGCTGTTAGGCAGAAGAGCCAATGGACTGGTCTAATACAGAGAGCTTGAATAATGCACACAAACACGCTCCTCACGGATCAACACGAGCTCTAAGCCGGTGTGCTTGCTCCTTTCGGGACCAACTCCTCCAAACAGAAGGCTCTTACGTAAGAGCTTTGCTCATCTTTTGTTTATCAACCGATTGCTCCGAAGCATTATGTAAAAAAATCAACATGATTGTGTTTTCAGTGACCCTGCGCATGACCCCACTGATAATCACTTCACAACAGAGCCTTTTAGCCAGGGTAAGTAATCACATGACCCAAGAGGACAATAGCAAGGAGTGCTTTGGTTACACACTGTACTTGCATATGTATGAATAAAGGGATTGTTTGGTGAAAAATCAAACTTGCACAGTTTTCCCCATAGTACTGAGTGTAGTCAATCAGGTAATACATGTTTGATGAACAAATCTTGCATCTTTAGTTTTGCATTAGAGCAATGAGGCTAACTTAGCTGACAAGCAACAGAAGTAACATCCCACCAGTTAGCATTGTGTGAACTGCATCCCTAAATCATCACACAGTTTCCTCAGTCTCAGGTTGTTAAAGGAGTCATAACAAACAAAACTTCACTTGTATGTTACTCGTCACTGTGTCTACATCCAAGAAAAGAGTACATCCCTTTTACAGAAGACATGTGATTCTACAGACTGTTAGGAACTGTTGCCACACACTGAACAAATGTTCTGTCCTGCTCAAATAATCATGCCCACTAAACCAGCCTTCATACTTTGACCACCGCAGCCGCTGGTACAATGGACCTCTCTGATGGACAAGAGAGTGATGTAAACAGTAATGTAATGCCTGATGTGCTCTTAATCTATGGATCTGCTACGAAATGCATATTTACCACTGTCAGCTTGAAGCTAACATAACACCGAAATCCTTGTTTCCAGGCTAGTGGAAATTAGCCAAGGGCTTCTTACAAAATGAAATACAAGGTTTCTGCATCAAACACTGCTGTGTAGTGCATGCTTGGGTGGCACATGCACATGATTTAGTGACAGCATCTAGCTCTCAGTGTAAACAAGCCAAGAAAGTTGAACATGTTTCTCTATACTGTCCAGCAATTGTTGAGCTTTCCACCAAAGTACAGTACACTGTAAAAACCTTACACTCACCCCCTTCAACTAAGCCAGCCAATGGAAGCAGTGGTCATTAGCATACAAAATAAACACACAGGTAATTACCTTTTGTTCACAGAGGAGTAAATGATAGGGTAAAATATATCATACAAAGACTGAATTGAGGTGTTATTTGTCTTATACTGTTCACAGTGCTCTTTCAACAAGCATAGGGCATTTTATATAATTGAATGAAAATGACTAAAATATGTCTCCTTTATGTAATCTCAATTAGACTTGCTTATGTGATTTCTGACTGCATGGCATTAATAAAAATGAACAAAAGTATATTGCATAGCTAAAAAGAGCAGTAAAAGCTATCTTGAAACCTGAACTTTGTGTGAACCGATTTCAGGCACGCATCTTGCATGATGCTAATTGGTGGTGTAGTGAATAATCTTCCATTTCTGTATAGCTGCTTTAGCCTTTAGCACAAATCTAATAAAGCAAACTTTGGACACCAAACATGTCTTGGCTGATCACTCACATTTGAGATAAAGGAAAAATGTGTAAATTTAACTTTTTGCCAAAAACATCTTTACCCCCTTAACATTCCAGGTTTATTTCATTCAAAGGTTTATAATTCAGTAACTACAGGGACGAATGGAGCTATTCTTAGGTTATAGAAGTGTGTAATAAAACTTTGGGCCCACCGGTTGTTAAGGGTTTAAACATTAGTAAGTGTTGGACCATGTTTATGTGTGTGTGTGTGTGTGTGTGTGTGTGTGTGTGTATTTCTGTGTGGGCAAGGGCTGACCTGTCTAGCCAGGCCAGAAGGCTCTTGGCAGCAGCAATAAGATCCACCACGGAGGTGAGGAAGTCGTTGGGGAGCTTGCGTGTAGCTCGGCCGTCGTAGTGGCCTCCTCGCCTGCGGCCCGTTATGAAGTTCTGCAAGTTCTTTGCGGAGGCGTTGAGCTTATGTGATAGAGTCTTCAGATGTTCTGTCTCCAGACCATAGTTCTGAGAGAGGCCACGAAAAGAGAGATACATGTCAATATGAAATCCAAACGGATTTGTTAAAGCAATAGTTCAGCAAATAAAAGTGTCATTTTCAATGGACAAAAGTATCTTACATGGCTATAACCAGTAGTAGCAGCCATTGTGAAGACCGCATTCTGTCTGCACTTGTGTTCACTCGCATAGATAAAATATACTATACGGTGCCAGAAACCACATAAGCAAGATATATTTTATTACTATTTGTCACTGATTTTTTTTTATAATTTCTGCATAATTCAATTGTAAAGGTGTAAACAAAGTTATTCAGAGTAGTTTGATGTGAAATCATTGTAGAGAAACATATTGACTATGATTTTCTTTACAGTGTGGAGACAGGAACAAGGGGTCATGATGTCTACAATGCACTTTTTTACTATCCAAAATGCGTAAACTTACAGTGAACCCCTGAGTTTTTATATGTAATGCTAAAAAAATGCATTGTCTTTGGGTACTGTTTTGCCTTAGGCAATGTTTCCATCACAAATGGATTTAAAAAATACATTTTAGGCAAAGACTTTGTCTGAGAACTGTCCTAAAACAATGCCTCAGGCACCAGGTAAAATATTTGTGACTGTTTCATTTATTAACTTTCTGACAGGCAAGCTTTAAAGGTATTAAGTGCTTCGGTTCCTATCACCACTGCTGTGAACTATGCTCAGTAGGTTTCTCTAGAAGGGAATACATTTCCCATCAAACCAATCAGAATTCTTAATGACTGGGGTATGCAGAAATTCTGAAAAGTGAGTGGCATTCCCCTTTTACAACTTGACACAGTTTGAGGCACATATGGGATGATCTAAGTAAGCAGTTTGGGCAAAGTATAAGATATCCGTACTTGTTAGCTGCATTAGCCTTGTAGCTCCAGTGCAAAACTAAAGAAGCAAACTTCAGACACTGAAAATGTCTTAATTAATCAACTACATTTGGGGTAAAGAGAAAAACTGTGTAACTATCACTTTAACCACAAGGAGAAGATTCTACTAGCCTTATTTAGTCAGGCACCTAAGGGCACGTATACAGAAATACATGAGGTCCAGAGAGTGCTTGTGAATAATGGAAAGGCTGGCGGTAAGCATAAAGCAGGACAGAGGGTCAGACTGAGGCACATGCTCCATTACGAGCCTTCTGAAGCTGATGTGTTGGGACATTGCATGAGTATGAAGGAAAGTTATAAAATGCTTGAGGAAACATTCACAATGTGCCACTCAACCTGGGCAAAATATTGCACATATCATGTTCCATAAATACTGCATGTAAAGTGAGGGTACCATTCACATTCTCTGTAGTCTACTTAACATACTGTATTACATCAGTACAAGAGCTCATCATGCAAAATTAACTTTCAAACTGGATGGTGCTCAGTGCTTCCTCTGTCTGATGAATGGAGGAGCCTGTAAAAAATCCCAGGAAAGATGTCACAGTGGAAGAGCTCAGACACTGGTAGATCAGAAGAGCTCTGCTTGTGTGCTGCTTAGAGGTGTAAAATGCATTGATCCATCATGATCTGGAGGTGGCGATTTAACTGCTTAGATATTAAAATGTTAGAATAGATTACAATCAATTATAATAATATTTGTTAAGACTTTGTTTAAAGACTACCTGCCTAAGCATTTAATAAGGTATTTGTAAAGTAATCTTTCTGAGTTATGAAGTCCCTATGTAGGCAGCCTTCAGATAAAGTGATATCTAATATTCAGTGAAACATGCACTAATTTTTTGGCCAAAAAAATTTACCAGACAGTTTACAAAAATGTATTTCAGCTGCTAGCTCACCTGCACAAACATATAGAGGCACAAAAATTGGTCAGTATGAAGATGGTGATTTGACTGCATTGATTTTGGAATGGTAAAATCGATTATAACATATTATGATAATAATATTATGATATAATATTCAATAAACTGTGCACTCATTTTTTGAGATTTTAAATTTTTTATGTTATTTATATTGAAACATGTCACTTCTTAAAAAGAAATGAACTGAGAATGTAAAGGTGGGTGTATTGTTTTCACTGTCTACATTCCACTACTAATGCTGTGCTCAACTGGGGCTTGTAACTCCGAATTTTGCACCTCGTACTAGGAAAAATCACAAAAACACCACCTCAGCAAGTCAGGATGATGTCCTCAACACTGAGCTCAGCAGATGACGTCAAATGAACATGGCTGCTCACAGCACCAATGTTCATGTTCAATGCAGCATTACTAGTTCCTCCAGTCATATTTATGTACTCAGCATTTTTTTCAGTACTTATGAATCGTACCAAAATAACCAATGTGAATGAAACTGTATGGAATTGTAGTGACGTGAAACTTCCTGATGCACTAAACAGTCTCCTAAAGAATCACAACCGAATCAAATTGTTGAGAAGTGAGAGATTTACAGCACTAGCAGGGCTCAGAGAGGACTAATGCTTCCCAAAACCAGTGTAAGAAAGCACCCAGCACATAAACTGACCCACAAACACCAGCACAAGCACAACCCCCCTCCCTTCCCCCGGCAAACCCTGAGCTGTCACTGTACAAGTGCAGCAAGGCCATGACATTCCGCTACCACAATGCTCTGATGCACATGAGAGCCTGTGGGTGTGCGTCATGTGAAAGGCTCAGCGGGGGGGAGGGATGAGTAATCATATTTAATAGTGCAGGGCCTTACACTGGACCCACCTAAAGTAGCATTACATAAGGGCATTTAGCGCAGAAGGCCAGGCTTAAGCTCTTGACTGATGGCCGGGGCTGGAGAACACGCAAAAGGGACAAACTAGCATATCCACGTCCTCCAATGCTTTTTATTCTCTTCCTTCAATCCCAATCTTCCGGCGGCTCAAAGCTTCTGTCTAACACTGCTCGTTTCTTGTTGTTATTCTTCCCTCGCCTCTACTCCTGTCACCCTTCCATCCGCTCTCCCACGCTCACTTTCTTTTGTTCTCTCTCTCTCTCTTTTTCCCTCTCTTCCTCCCTGTGTATGTTGCTTTCTCTCGTCCTTATTTCTAAACGCTCTGCTGGGACGCAGCCTGCAAGCGGCAGTGTGTGGGGTGACAGGAGTAAATAAGGGGGATAATCCCTGGGATTTTCAGGGATTTAAAATGTTTGTTTTGGCTAATATCAATTACAACTCATCAAAAAAACATAAACAGAGCGGCAGTGTGGAATAAACGAGGTCAGGGGCCTCAGCCAAATCAATTCCACCAACAAAGTGGATGCTCAGAACCTTCTGAAAGCACTAAGGCGGACAGAAGCACAGAAATCCGCACAACTAACAACACAGCAAAAGCTTTTGGCACTGACAGAGCGACACTGACCCTGTCCCAGATAAAGCTGTGCCCGCGAGCAAAGCTCTGATCAGCAGCCCATAGCTTCTGACTCAGTTACAGCAATCCACTTCACACCCAACCACCCTGAACTAGAGATCAAAGACAAAAACATCTGGATGAAGCCCACTAGTGTGTTAGAGAACATGTTCACTATGTTGTCTGCGCGTTTGTGTGCTCACCAGTGCACACAGCAGGTCCACAGCCTCCAGGATGAGCTCCTGGTGGCCGATGCGGGACACGCCCAGGTCCTCCAGCTCCTGATGCGTGATGCGCAGCAGCTGCTCCCCGCCCACCTTCTCCTGCTCAAAGTTCTTGATGTACTGCTGCAGACAGTCGTCCAGACCTGTGACAGAGCATACCCATATTACATATTTTCAATAATATAAAACAAATTTTATTGTATTTATTTATTTTATTATTATTTTATATATATATATATATATATATATATATATATATATATATATATATATAAGTTTAGTATGGTGCTACTTCTCTACAATATCATACATTCCAAATAATTCTACAAAATAAGATAAGTCTTAAGAGCCAACTTTGGGCCACATTGGACAGCCCTGTTCAAAAAATGCAGAAAAATCAAACACTGAATAATACATGTCAAATATTTTCAGTTGTAATTTATAAAATAGGAAAAATTCTGAACTAAAAATACTTTTAAAACATAGTTTTATGGTTGTATGGATTACACTGTAATTGTCTGTCTCTTTGAAGAAGTCCCACTCTGTATGAGTTTAGCCAGACCTAAATTATTTAGGATAATTTCCAGCATGTACAGGCAAATGCACAATTCATTACAATGCCTAATCCTAGTTATGTTTACTGGCTCCAGTAAAGAACAGATTTTGTAGAATGATGTAAACACTTCAAATCCTAGAGAGGATTTCTTTCATTTTCCAAAGAATGCTGACAGGTTCTGATAGGTATGGAAGTCTATTACTTTCAGATAAAGGAGAAAAAAAAATCACCTGCATTATTTTCTTCTACTCTGTTTCTGCCAGCAGTATGACAAAATTTTGACTTAGTATTTCAAAATAAAGATGGACTTTCCCAAAATATTGACTTAGTATCTCAAAAATATGAAATATTTCTCAAATTAGTCATCTACTATGTCAAAGCAATGACTTATTTTCTCAAAATATTGGCATAGTATATCAAAAAATTACATTTTTCAAAATAATCACCAGCAATGATTAATTAATTATTATTCCAAGTCACTTTCCTTGAAATCTAAAAAAACTCATTATTTTGATATGGTATGTCAGACGAAAATAAAGCATTACCTTAAATTACTAAAATGTGCTAAAATATATCCATCATATTTTGAAAAAAGTCATTAATTTTGACATACTAATTCAATTTTTCTAAACAAATAAGTTTTTTTTTTTTTATACTAGGCCAAAATTTTGACTACTACTAGAAACAGAGGAGAAGATATGTTTCCACAGATGAGCCACAAAGCTCACGCTGACAAAAGCAATGTGATGGATTTTTAGTTTTTCAGTTTACTTACTTTTGTTAATAATTGTGTTGATGTAATATATTTCATTCATGTGGAAATGATGTGCATATGAACAAATTCAGCGCAGTAATGCAGGTTCTGAAGTGCTGCGCGCAGCTCTGACCAAACAAGAGTGGACACACATACAAAGCACGAAGGTGGACTAACTCTAATCTCCCCTGACACACACACGTCTCCTCACGTGGGAGCTGTGAGAGTGTGTGTGAACGTTCACTTTGGTGTTTTCACACAACAGCGTTTAACGCACACAGCTACACAGACAGACAGACAGACAGACACACACACACACACAGAGACATATATTGCAGTGGACACAGCAGGGGGAGATGTGAAGGCTTTGTCACACAGCTGTTCAAACATTCTTCACTTAGTGCATAGACAACTCCACACACGCATGCACAGAAATGTCCTGCTGTCATGGACACACATCCATAGATTTGAAGGACTATTGTCATCATTAAGGGTAGAAGTGTTTGGCAGAAGCTCACGGTTGCCAAGGAAACACACACCACCCACTTTCCATACGCTGACCCTCCTGGGGTGTTTTTTTCATTCCCTCATAGACTCGACGAATGAAAAGGACAGCATCACTAAACAGAGCTATATTTACTCGCTCCACACATGTGCTCCGTTCCCACACACAGCCAGCAGCCGCATTCAAGCAAAGCGCAAGAACAAGTGTGTGATCTGCTCGAGGCGGCAACATTCTCGTACATTCATGTACACAAAAGACAGGATGATAATGAAAAGCAGTCCTGATGATCTGATCAGTATAGACAGGGAAACCTGATGTGCAACACTAGTATTAGTGATGCTGGCACGTGGGATGGGCAATAATACAGATCTTCTTTTTAGATGAGATACCAGTAATATGAATAGCCTTGTGATACTAATGCTGATACCTGTATTGTCTTCATATGCACATATACTGAGGAATTTGGCATAATTTCTATGATCCACATTTGTAAATACAAGCATCCATAGAATATATTTGATATTCTTTGCATCTGGCTTAACTAAATTGCACAATGTAAATCTGTACGTGCCTGTTCACCAACCTACTATTGCAAAATTGTGCTCATCAATAAATAGGTTCAAGAAATAATGTCTATCACATGACTAAATTAACCTGCTATTATATATCTGGATAATGACTTTATAAGTATGAGGCTGGGGCTGAAAGATTGTTTTTTTATTGAAATTGCAATTTGAAAGACTACAGTTTTCAAATTGCAAGAGCTGCAATTTTTATTATATATGACACTATCAACAATGTTGACAATAACACAGAGGTTGTGAACTGCTTGTAGATGAGCTGGACCAATCAGAAGCTACAAAACACCCATGTTCTGTATATGTGACATCACAACCATCACAACTACCTGGTAGTCTGACGCACTCAGCATTCAAACTGCCTGCCAGAAAAAGTGTATATTCCGCTCTTCTTGGCAAAAAACAGGCCTGAAAATTAATTGATAGAAAATTGCTGGATTTAAATCGCAATACTAGTCAGAAAAATGGCAATTAGATATTTTCCCGAAATCGTTCAGCCCTGTATGAGGCATGGAGGGATAGGGTGGAAGGTTTTTTTTTTTGGTAAGAAAGTCACAGATTTGAAACTAAAGATTATTGACTCTTACACAGCAGAATAAAACTATAAAAGATATGTAAACACTTTCTGCTTGTAATTTTTACTGTCTGAAAGACAAGACAAGATCTGGAGGACCAAGAAAAATCTGCATATCGCACAACTGAGTCAAGTAAGTCTGGCAGAAACAGAAATTAAATTTTATATTACATATTCCCCCAAAATACTGCATGGCCAGTGCATAAACATCTCATTAGCTGGAAGTTGCATTAAGAATGCATACTGCAATTGGATAAAGGCATTTATTAAACCTACTTGTCAAAACTTTTATAGACTAAAAACTTCCACTGACAGTAGAGGGGCAAACAGTTCACTTTATAAGTGACTGAAATTCATTCACTACAATAATTTATTTTTTTTACATTTCAGTTTCAAATGCACATTCATTAAAATTGTCAATAGAAAATATATATTAACATTACTGGTTGACACTAAAAAGTCATAATTGTCAGTGATAACAAAAGGAAGTTGACCTGCATGTAAACTTGATGTCAATTATTTCTCACCCGTTGCTCAGGAAAATTCTGTCCAATTACTTTTATTATGATATTTTATTATGACAAACAGAGAAAGTCAGAAGCGCAGACTTGAACCTGTCAATACAGAATGAAAAGCAAATATAAATGTAAATGTACCAACTATGTAATTAATCATGTTATTGTGCAATTACATTTACATAGTTTAGCAAAATGATGATAATAACTCCAGACCTTTAAAAACAAAAAAAAGAAAACACCTGCCATTGATATTTTTTAGGTGAGACTCGCCAAAGCAAACGCTAGGACCAATACTATCAATAGCAACAATCCGCCCACCGCTGTTTGGCACACTGGAAAGTGAATTTCAGCCAGAACACTGTCTGTCACTCTTCCTCTCATCATTATTTACCCACTATTCCTTCCTACTCCTTCCGCCTTCTTATCTGTCCATCTCCCCCTCTTCTCCATCCCAAACCCTTCATATGCCTTCTCCCCCAGGCTCTCTTCCTCCTTTCTTCCTCTTATCTCCCCCTAAACTTCCTAACAAAAGGGGGAAGCTGTAGAACAAGGCATGGATCGCTGGAATCAGAGCTCAGATCAGGTGCTTAATCTCTTGCAGTTTGTAGCCGAGACGTAAGCCTAATGGAGCGTGAAGAAAAAGTTGGGTCAGTAACAACACGATAAGAAGCTGAAAGGGAGGTTTCGTGGCTTCGCATCCGATTGAGGGGCTTAACAAATCAGCCCGTTCACCAGGGCTTATCTTAACCAGGTCCGAAACGAAAGAAATCATCACAGTCTGCCACTCTGTGTTGCTATAGAAACAACACCGGGACAAGGAACTTTGATTAGGACCTCATTATAAACTGAAGAAAAGAGGCGTATATGTATGATTTATGCCTGAATAGACGAATAAGTCAACAAACAATCAGAGCTTTTGGCAGCATCAAAGACTTGCATCAAAGCACTATTCACAGATGGATTTGTGCTGTTTGTGCTGGATTGCTCATGCAGAAATGCTTGACGACTGTAGTACAGGTTCAAAAAACTAAACCTCAGTTAACTGTGTGCTTTTAGACAAACGCACAAAATTCCATACCTGCGCAGAATCTTATAGAAAAAACTAAATATTTCTCAGAATAAAATAGCGATGTGCCCAAAATTACTTGTCATGAAATGACGTTTCTTATCTTTCTTATAAGAATACTCCCAAGAATAAGGCTCAGACATTCTTACATTAAGCAGTTCATTACCAAGCACTTGAGAAGCAGATGAGCTAATCTCTGGAGAGAGACAGGGCCCCTCACAGAGAGCCAGTGTACACAAACAGGGAGCTCACTGATTAGGAGGGCATCACGCTGCTGGTAATTGTAGCTACTGTGATTAAGCTGCGCTAAAAGTCACGCAGAAGAGTGCGGCATGTTAATTTGGGTCGCAAATCTCCTTCAAAAGACATGGACTGGTCACCCATCCAGAGTCAAAGAGGACTCAGTGAGTGAGTGAGTGAGTGAGTGAGTGAGTGACGAGTTAAAGGAGGCGTGTTTAATATTAGTATGGATAGCAGTCCAAGGCAGATTAGGATATGGTCCATTTGAGCCCTTAACCCAAAAAACCAGAGCTGTCCTGAATCTCATATCTGGCATCTACAGTGACCCAGAACTGAAAGAGGGATTGGAAGC